GCACAAACCCGTATAAAATGGGCTCAAAATATGCTAATTTTCTTAACCGGTGGTGTCCTTTTCACGTTAAAAAACTACCCAGATTTGCACCCAAAACTGAAAATCAGGTAAAAATTTCGAAATACACGTCAATCGACTCAGTTCTTGATCCTAATTCCAAATATGATATTTTTATTGCTCTAAAGTTGAGTTCTCATTGAGAAAATTGGGCATTACAGGCGGAATTCAAAAGTCATCAAAAACTGGAAAAATCAAATTTCATGGCGTTTATAGCTACAAGACATTGAGTTGGGGCAAATCGTATCTTATGAGACATGAAAGCCCATGTCGAATAGATACGAAAAATATATGAAAGCGATCTCGGGAATTAGCGATTATACAAAAAATGGGCGTAAAACAAAGAACGATCGTCTAGAACTGAGAGGCGTCTCCTCTTAATCGGAAATTTGCGGGCTACAATTATGCTTCATTATGACAGGTTTTGGTAATTTTTTAGAGTTTCTGAAAAACTGGTTTTCCAGAAAACTGGCCATCTGATCTTCGAGATGCTATGGGGAACTCCCGTGGTCATATTCAGAATCAGCATGGTCGATAACCTATAGCCTATAGATTTCGATCAAAAAGTGCTTTATCAGTTGCGGATGTTCCCTCGTCAGTTTGTTTCTAATTATCTGTTAACCTTACTTTGTTTTCTATTTATTAAAATCTGACATTCCATGCAGTGAAATAAGTTACGCTGAGGAAACGAGGTTCCAAAGTTGTACAGTTTCTAAAATTATCCGAGCAGGTGCAACGAGTTTAAAAACATTTTGTATGAGGCGGCAGTCTTCTAGAGCAACGTGTTTTCTCAAAATGAGACATCGCTTTTAGTTCATGCCCGATGTTTAAAACTCTGATCCAGGTCACTTTCTCGATAAAACCGCGGCGTCTCAGGATAAAAGGTCGTGTCGTGAATCAGTGTATGTAACTCTAAAAACACAGAAACTCTAGTCAGTATCTCTAGTACAGTAACCAAGAAAAATACAGCTAGACATTTTTATTTTTTTCAGTATCGTGGATGAGTAACACTACCATGACAAAAAATCGTCAAAATACGTGGTGGGATAACTGAGGTGTCGATGGTGCCAGTACGTGGTGCGATGATTCAAGCGCCGGCGGTGAAGAAAGCATAGGCTGAAATGGATCTGCAGCCTTCGTTTCTGTAAGTACAACAGTCGGCTGAACTAGTGCATGCCTTTCTACAATTGACTCTGTTTGTTTCTCGAAGACAAGCTTTTCATCTGCCGTCAGTTGACCATCTGGAATACTTGATAAATCCTGCACTGTATCAAATACGTCTTTCAAAATATCCGCTTCAGCCGCCTGTTTTTTCATGCTATTTAATGTTTCTGGCAGAAATTTATTACTCAACTTTTTTCGGCATTCTTCCATTGATTGATAATATTTCGAATGGATCCCAAGCGAATGACAATCTATTTGCTCCTTTTTTTTTCTTAACCGGTGGTGTCCTTTTCACGTTAAAAAACTACCCAGATTTGCACCCAAAACTGAAAATCAGGTAAAAATT